TGTGTTCAATAGCGAAGCCAAGCTAGGGCAATACCTCTTTCAAGGCTGTATCAATCTTGCTGAGGTTACCTTAAGTGAGCTTCCATCTCCCCGAGAGTCAGTACTGCAAGCTAGGGTCAGTGAGTTAACGCCGGGCTGCCTCAGCTCCACAGGAATCACTGCACTTGCTCTCCCAATGCATTTTGTAACTCTCGGAGCGCATGCATGCGACAGTTGCCGACTGCTTAAGAATATAGACCTTTGCAACACCCAGGTTGAGGAAATTCCGGAATTCGCCTTTGTGCACTGCACTAGTCTCAAAGAAGTCCTCCTTCCGATAACTCTTCACACAATCCGAGTCAAAGCTTTCATGAACTGTGCAGCTCTCGTGGAGCTTGCCATTCCGCCCTCGCTGAGGTACATAGGAAGTAGGGCCTTCCTAGATTGCACTGTCTTTAGTAGGCTTGTCAAGATGCCAGGAAGGCATAAATGGCGAGGAGTCTATGCAGAAGAGAATGCTTTCGCCATTTGTCCTGCTATGCGATGGCCACCTTGGCTGCACATGATCCCGGACATGGGGCACACCCCTGGTCTTGGATGAAAACAAGACTCTTTTCTTGGTTGCAGCGAGCGCTGCATCGTAGGTACTCGTCAAGAGTCTGGGCACGCGCCTTAGCGTGAGTCCAAGGTAGGTCAACGATCATGACAGGGCAAATTCCAGAGGGGAGCGGAGAAACATCGCAATTGTACCCTTGCATAGGAAGTTCTACTCAAGAGTATCATGGCGAGGCTAGGGGCAAGCAAACGAAAATAAACTGCACATTGCCAAAGACCAGTGTCCCTGAACAAACTGGATAACCCGTCTAGTCCAGGCAATGCTAGGAGCTGTCGACAGATGCCAGTTGTCACAGGGAAGAAAAAGGACCAGACCAGACAGAGCCGGTGAACCTGTGACTGGAATGGGGGACAGACCAACCTCTTTTCGCCATTCGGACTGCTGTGAGCCAATAGGAGTGAGAGCCTTAGCTCTTCGTTCCTAACAGGCGGGTGGTAGAGAGTGGCAATGGCGGATGCCCAGGGGGAACCTTAGTTCCCTTTGTTGATGTCCGACATTTCCAATTTTGTACAAAGAAGTACAGATACCATGCTAGGATTGTCCAAAGTTTCACCTGTTTCACCTGTTTCACACGGGCCTTGCATGCAGCCGATTAACTTTTGCAACGGTGCAGCGCTTCGTAAACCTGGAAGACACCCCACTCTGTTTGCTATTTGGTACCTGTGAGTACCAAATAGTGTTGAACTGACCTCCCTTCGGGGGGGGTCTCTTCGCACCATCACCTGCAGGCTTTCGTCGATTATGGCCGCCTCTCATTGATTGTTGATTGGTAGCATGCCACTTGACTTGTAAGTGCAACCGGTTGAACGGGTTGTGCCACAAGAAAGGTCTTTTCCACGGCATGCTGCACAGCTACGCCACCCCACTTGCCAGGGATGCAATCGACGTTGAAGCGTTGCGATACCCCGTATTTGAGTGGAGAATTGCATCGTGACCATGATTTTGCCGCACTGGGGTGTGGCCGTTGGTCACTCATAAAGGTGAAGTGAGGTCCCTTTGAAGCCTTTTTGCGACTTTGCTTGAGCACAAACCTGCGCCGATATGCTTTTCGTTCGTTAATTCAGGCCCCCTTTTAGACACTCTTTTTCGTCTCACATGTTTCACCTTGCACAGAGGAAAGACTACATGATGGTGGAGACACGGCCTGTGGGCCCTTGGTTGTGGTGTTTGTTGGTTTTGTGTGGTGTTGGGTTTCCTTGTTCTTTTCTCCACCATCAGACTGTTCTTCCCTCCCTTCAACGATGACCTGGGCACCATGCCCACACGGCGTCCGTACTCGTGGAAAAAAAAGGGGCATCTTCAACTATGTGAACCAAGTCGCTGATTGAGACCCACAGGGGGATCTCAGACGAGGCTGATCTCCAACTATGAAGAGGCTCAAGTCCTGGGGGCTAGCAAAGGGACAGGGAGGTCTTGATCAGCGACTTGAGGTTCTACATAGTTGGAGATCAGCCTCGTCTGAGATCCACCTGTAGGTCTTGATCAGCGACTTGAGGGCTTGCACAGTTGAAGTAGAATCAGGAAGCATGAAGTGAAAAAACGCCGCCCTCAAACACACAACATCAAATCATTAGGGGTTCAGTGAAAACGCCGCCCTCAATGATGGCCCCAAGTCAGCCGCTTTGCAGGAGACGATGTTCTGGCAGCGTTCTGTAACCCAAGCTTTTGTTAATTCAACATTGAGGGCGGGCGTTTTTCACTTAACCACTAATGATAGAATGCTACATCTTTTGAGGGCGGCGTTTTTGACTTCATGCTTCCTGATTTGACTTTGATACCACCAACATTGAGCAGGGTGCCTGCTTTTTTTCTTAATGCTTCCTTCGTCTGAGATCAGCTCTGTCTGAGATCAGCAGTTTCGTTTTTTTTCCGGAAGCTTGAGCTGGGACATTAACATTGAGCAGGGTGGTTGTTTTTTCTCAATGCTTCGTCTGAGATCAGCTCTGTCTGAGATCAGCAGTTTTGTTCTTTTTCGGAAGCTTGTCGTGGGGGCAGCAAAATGGGGACAGGGAACTTGGGACGGGGAACTGGGGACAGCGAACTCGGGAGGGAACTGGGACAGGGAACTGGGGGGCAGGGAACTGGGGGCAGCAAACTGGGGACAGGGAACTTGAGAGGTTCCTGCGCCGCGCAGGACCAGCTGGAGTGGAAGTACAGGAAGAGAACAAAACAAGTTTGCAGGACCACCGTCTCCAGTCCGACCTTTTTTTTGCACGGGTCGAGGCGCTATGTGTGCAGAGGATGCACAAGTCACCTTAGGCTAGTGAAGAGAGAGTTACGAACCAAGTAGCAAAGCAACACCGAACCAAAACACACGAAACACCAAACACCCCAACACCGAACCCCAGAAAAACAAACCAGGTTCGTAACTCGAGTCGGCCATGTCAGCCAGTTGAGAGAGGTGAGACGGGGGGCGATGAATTCAGCCTTTGCACTCAGTACGTCATCATCACGTCATCATGTGATCTCCACAAGAAATGGCTGTTCAGCATACTCGCAGCAGTCAAAGTCCTGTGAACCTTCGTGCGAGAAATTCTGCAGCCGAGATGCCATGCTTCAAATGAGGCCACTTCGGTCAAGCATAGTATTCCAAAGATTGGAGTTACACGAGTGTGTTGGTTGCAAAGTGGAACCAGGAAACCAGTTTTGGAAGTGGTGCCTATTGGAACAAAGCTGAACGTGAGTGATTTGAATACAAAGAAGTTGACAGCAGCTAGAAAACGATTTCTATTGTTTTTTCGGTGCAACCAAGTTTGATGAAGAGAGTGGATCGCAAGAAAGCATTGGTGAATCAGAGTTCATCAAACACACGACAGAAGAGGCATTGAAAGCACAGATTCGCAGAATTGGCAAGTTGGCCAAAAGCAAGTCGAGCAAAGGAATTTTGCAAGTGGCGATGGCGTTGAGTGTGTTTGGTTTGAAAGGGTGTATGGAGAAAGATGAGCAAAAACCGCAAGAAGCAGTTGAAAACGGTTGGCAACAATTTGCATTGACATTGGTGGTGTTGATGGTCATTGCATTGTGCAATTTCGTGTTTTCACCTCGGGATGTGATTCAAGCATTGCTAGACAGGCGGGGCAGAAAGAGAAAGTGGGAATCTGAAATTCCTGACAATGACGCAGGTGTGGAAGTCGAGGAGTTGGAGGTACCAGCTGGCGAACAGGCCAGTGCGAGTACGGGTCCAATACCCCCAACTACTTCGCCACCGAGAGGACCGCCTCCAAGGGCACCAAAGCTTTCACCAATCCCTGTTGGCCCACCTCCAAGGTGGGATCCGTGGTCGCCAGAGTGGTTTTTGTATTTCATGCTTGGAAGGGTGAACAGACGCATGCAATGTCGTGGACAGCAGATGGACCACAATGCATTGAGACGGTACAATCACAGAAGAGACATTTTAGAAATGCGACTAGGAATTTTGGAACAAAGCCACAGTGAAGGTGTGCGGAGAAGAGCCCATATGATGTGTCGTGGAATGACAGATCTTTTGCCAGATTCAGGTTCAGCAGCAGGACCAGAAATTGAAGAGGAAGAAGAGCCAGAGAACGAAAGCATTGCGACACACTATTATGTTGGAGAAGCAGCCGCATCGAGTGGTTTGACAGGTGCAACAGCGGATTCACAATTTAGAGAAGAGCTTGATGAAGCAGATGGATATTTCGATGAAGCAATGTTCCAGGGAGAAATCTTCCTATGTCTACAACAGAGCAAAGCCAAAATGATGAAGCAGCAAATGAAACTGAAGATGAAGAAATTGAAGAGGTTAGTGATCCGGAATATTGACAAGAGCTACGTCATTTTAGCAGCGAAGATGAAGCAAGCAGTTCGAACGGTGGAGACAACAACAATTGATTTATGATGGAATTTACAATACCTTTCTTTTGATTTGGATGACCTGTGAAACCATCTGAACCACAGGCATCCAACAGTGGGTTGAAGTATCGTGCAACATCTGAACCACGATACACGACGATAGAATTCAGGTGAAATTTACATTGGTGATGCAGCGTTGTTTGAAGATGCGTGTACCTGGAATAGTGTACAAGGATACATCGGAACGGTGGCTATACATGATAGCCGAACCAATTTGTAGAAAACGTGTTTCAGTTCCACCTAGCAGATGGTGGGTGATTCTACAAATGAAGGAGTGTACAATGAAAAGTGGGGCTCTGATTTGTCACATCAAGCTTCAAGCGGGGTGTTAACCTTTTACACCCTAGAGTACACGTATCGATGACACAGTATAGTGTAGAGATTCGAGTCACTTGGATGTGTAGTATCTGTTCATATCAGCGTGACCGCCATAGCGCCCGGGTTCAAAAGAAAGTTGCTGCCTAGCACTGTTTCATCGCAGTGCAAGTAACCCTACACCTGGACGCTGTCGGGCCATCAGTCGTTTAGTTTGTCTCGGGTGATGCTGTTTTCAAAGTTGGGTGGTATTTGGAGTCTATGCCGGTGTAATTCTTCTGGTAGTTGGTGGAGTCTTCAAAATCATTATCCGAATCCTTCTGACCATTGTTCGGAGCCAGCCTGTCCTGTGTTTAATCGCTTGCTTGTATTGTTCATGATGTAAAAATTAATGTTGCTACACTCCAGTTTTGCTCAAATTCTCTTTGTCAACAATTTGGCACAAGGCAAGTACTCTGACAGGCAGTGCAACTTTGAAGCAGCATCAACGTTTTTTGAACCACCAATTGAAAGTCCTCCTGCAATGACGTCTATTGAGGCATGGTACATGGCAGCTTGGTTGGCATTCGCATGATTTTTTTTGTTCCCTTTTTCCTCATCATTCTCAGGAGGTTGATCCAATTGGTAGGGGAACTGATTCTGATGCTGAGGGCAACAATGTTGTCGATCAGACTGCTGAGAACCGGATGGATCCAAATGAACCGGTGCGCAGCCAAGAGTCAAACATGATGCAGCCAAGGGTCGAACAATGTGCACTTCACCAATGGTCAGCTGTCTGACAGGTGACGATCTCCGACCTACGTGATCTTGGTGTAATCCATTGGCATCTCCCTCCAGTTGAAGATTACCCGGCCAAGGCGGTTCCTTGGGAACCGAAGAATGGAATCCAGGACCGTTGCGATTTGTTTACGACGCTTTGCCATGCTTTGAGATGTGTGGCTGTTCGGATCGTATGTTTGAACAGCGAATTCTTCATCTAGGACAAGCAACTGGCAGCCATCCGAGACTCTCGTGGGTACAACTATGCCGACATCATCACTTGCTCAGAGGAGCGTAGACTAGTCGTGTCTTCCTGATCTCAAGGCCAATTTCCATGTTTGTGAATTCTTGTATTTGACCTGTTTTTGTTGAAGAGATCCCAATCAAGGGCCTTTGCTTTTGCTTTCGTGAATCTTGCCCTTCAAAGCAGAGGAGTGCCTCCCGGACTACCACAACAAGCTGAAAGCATTTTTCGAAGAACACATTCATTCAGACGAGGTGCTATGTTTTGAGATCCATCCGAGACGCTGTGTTTCGACGGTCTCTTTCGGTGAGGAGCGTCCGATCGCTCCGATCGTAGCGAGGCCTTGCTCCTAGTAGTAAGGCCAGGAGCCCCTAGTAGAGTTCTTTTTTTTTTTTAGGTTTCACGTTCCCCAATCTTTGCTTAAAGTCCAGCAGTGATGCAGGAAGTCAGATACATTCTCAAGGGCAGTGGCTACTTTGATGTACGGGATCTGAAGGAGCATCTGTTGCAGCGAAAGCAAGGAAGTCTCTTTCTTGTGGCAGAAGAAAAAGGATGGAATTTTAGTTATCTCTTCTTAATTAATATACAGACATTGGTGAAAAGACAATGTTTTTTGGTTTCTTGTTTTGGATTCAATTCCGTTTGAACCGATACAACAATGCAGGATCGGTGGATTCGGATCAGGTTAAGCGCGGGTGATCTCATTGTTTTGCCTGAGGGCATCTACCACAGGCACGGCTTATGTGTTAGGCGAACTTACAGTTGTCTCAAACCCTGCTAGACCAGATCCGTCTGTGATTGCACAATTCTCTTTTACACGCTACCCTTGTTGATGTCCATCAATCCTCTTCCGTCTCGTAGCTCTGTCTCGTGCGAAGGTTCACAATGGACACGAAAAACTTCACGCATGCAATGCGTGCCTGGGATATGTGGTAGCACATCCCGCTTCAGTTGCTGATAGTGATAGTTGAACACATGTGAAAACAATCATTGTTTTCAGTTGAATTCATCAGATGATCCTAATGCCTTGATGTCGGAGTTTGATGGGCACAATTGCACGACAGTGAGCCTATTTTCGAGGCCTATTCAAGGGCGTGCCCGTGTGGACACCAATCAACCGTCCAGCAGACACGCATCCTTCAAGAGAAAGATACTTGCAGCGGTTTCAACCAGAGGAGCGTTCCTCCACCTGGAGCATCGTGCCGATTGGTTGCATTGGCCGATTGGTAGGCCCAGTCGTATCAATGGGCCAGTAGGCAACATTAGGTGTATCGAAGGCATTGAGAATCTGAGCTCCAGTCATCACAGAAACCAGCTGAGGTCCTGCTTCCGTGGACTCGCCCAGGGTTGGCAGAAATTGGGAAATTGACGTGTGGAGATGGCAGATGTTGTTGCATCCTGCTATCAATGATTGGTGCAACTTGTCTTTTGGCACATTCCAACGGTCTGGGAGGTGCTCTCAGAACTGAGGGATAGGAACTTTGCTTCTGATTCGGTGAAACAACTCGGCGTGAAAGAAGCCAGATCTGCCCGCGCTTCCACACTTGCTTGCTCGTTCACAATGTGATAGGCAGAAACACCTATGCTGTTCTTTGGATTTGGCTGAGCCTAAACTCATTCTGTCTCGATTTCGCTCCACGACACTGGTGGAAACACGACGTCGATACGCGAGTAACGGTGGAAACACCAACACGACCGTTCCTGGAAGCTCGATACACACGACCGTTCCACAACAACGTCTGGATTTTCTTTGCAGATTTCGTGTTGGAACGGTTTCTTTTCGTTGCTTTTGTTTGTCTGACTTCACTCCGTCCTTCGTCGTGTTTTGTGTCCATATCCACCTAGTTCTTCAAAACCGAAGTAGTTTGGGTGTTGCTACAAAGAAGCAACATGTACTTCTCATTTTTGCGAAACTATCATTTTACGCTCTCCCTAGTCACTTTGAGGCCTCCATGACACAAACTCCAGATGTTTACACTGTCTCTTCAGTATGAAGAATCTGCATGCAATCATTGACTCAAACTGACTTCAAATTGATACATGCAACACACATGCGACTGCAACCCTAAGCCGCAAGAACGATTTTGCCGCTCAAATAATCATGAACTTCAAACCTTTATCAATATTTCTAAAGGAGGTTCTTCTCAAACATGTACTATCCTCACAGTTGCATGCCCCGTGCTTTCATCATTCTCCATCCCGGGCCTGCTTCATTTCGTGATGAACATGTAGCATCTGGCGTTCTAAGGGGTGAGTTACGTGAGATTCGGTTCCAGAGCCCATGGCAAGTGCATGGTTAGCTTGCTTCTGTGCATTCCAACGTGCATGTTGTCAGGTTTGTGTGAACTTTCTGGGTTTGACATCCAATACACTCAGGCTGTAAGTCCATGAGGTCCAAGTGTTCAAGGAAGTAAGACCGAGGGTCAATGTTGGATCCTGATTAGTAAACGGCCCCCCCCCCCCTCAAACAAACAGGAGACCCTCTATAATAAACTATCACCAAAACAAATCTGGATTCCTGTGAGAATTCCTGTGAGAATTCCTGTGAGAAAGCTGTCAGTTTTGAAGAAACCTAGAAAGAATCATAATCATTGGCCTCAGGAGCTAAGGAAAGGAAGATTACATGATCAACTTTTTCCAGTGGAAAAAACTTTTCACAATTGAGAACCCAAAAACAAATTTATTATTGAGGATCAGGTGCCTTCCTGGTCTACTACCTTGAAAATTTGTTTAGGAGCAATGTTTTATAGAGGGTTTAATTAGGAATTGGTGGTTTTGGTCAGCTGTCAGTTTTGAAGAAACCTAGAGAAAGCTATATCAGCTAATGAATCATAATCATTGGCCTCAGAAGGAATTCAAACCCTTATTGATTAGGTTTCCAAATTAGAAATTTAGGGCCCCAAAAAATTTAGCATTATTCAGGACCCATTTTTCAAACATGGGGGTCTGAATAAATTTGGAAAAATTAGCATTATAGAGGACCTAATCAGGATCCAACATTACGGCTTTCAGATGTATTGTATGTATCTATTGTTTTGCACATCTTTGAAGTGAAACCGTCAGTTTGGCGCTGTGTTCGTTTCTTTTGCACCGTCAGGGACAAGGCTTTTTTTTCCGCTACCATTCTTTTTTGGCCTGCCATGTCTTGAAAGGTGGATCTGTAATGCTCTCAGGCATTGCTCTTACTTCGCCCCATGTATTTGCACTTTGTTGTTTGACAGCTAATGCAATGGCATACTTGGTGGTATACCCAATATATACAAATAGATGCGTGTGTACGACCCAATAATATAGAACAGACATTGCGAGAAGTCTGCTCATCAGCCCACACACACACAGTTTCGCTCTGCGACCGTGGTGGACACATCGTGAGTTAAAAAATACAAAGATTTGTTTCGGCAAACATGCTTTCTGACATGGCCATCTAACTCAACCGATTGTGTTGTTGATTTAAGAACCCTCGCTCTCCGGAGTTCGAATTGCTGCTATTCAATTGCCGGACAGGTTTGCAGACCATGTCTGGCCAATTCTCCATGATGCACTGAGACTTTTTGGACTGGAAGAACAAATTAATGGTGATGAAAATTATTGTTCCTTTTGGCCTCTTCTCAGGATCAGAAGGTCCTTTTCGGGTTGAAGGAGTGGATGGGGTAACCCAGTGTCAACAGGTTGAAGCGACGGACATCAAGCAGGTCTGGAACCGACACGGGGATTTTGGAGTTTGAGATGGAGGACAAGTCTCTCAGTTTCTGCTTCCTGTAGTCCTTGGTCATGCTCCGCATGACCGGACGATGGAATTCGAAGCGTCAGAAGATGTGAGGTAGATCCGAGCTAGAGCAGCTAGAGCCAAAGCCATCCTGGTCATGTACATGAAAGCACTGCTTTTTTTTTTTTTTTCGCAATGTCGGCGGTCCCATTCGTGTTTCACCAGGAACGATTCCTGACACCCCTACATCACACACAACTTCCTCAAGTCCTTTGGCTCAAGGTATCTCCCAACACCGTCGGATTTCTCCCCTCCGATGAGTTCCTCTCTTCCTCTCGTGGTGTCCTTCCTCGCGTGCTGCGTGGCAGTGACGGCTGCGATCACACCCGTGGAGCGTGCCTTTGAGCAATATTTGAAGGACGCCGCCGCTTGAGCCTCCAGAGTTTTCGAAAGACAAAAGCCAGTCGAGGTGGAAGCAAAAGCCCTTTTTCCCTCCCCCAGTAGCGTCCTAGTTTGAAGGCCTAGGTTTTGAATTCCGGGTTTGAAACAACGTGGGTGTTGTGATGCTTTTTCACTCTTTTTATCCATCCGCAGGATTTTGGCAAGAGCTACAAAGACCCTGTGGAGAAGCAGGCACGCTTTGAGGCCTTTTTGGACAACTATGAGTATATCCTGCGGGAGAACTCCAAGGGTCATTCTTACACTTTGGGCTTTACATACTTCACCGACATGAGCGTCGAGGACTTCGAGACCAGTCACTTTGGGATGAAGCCGAGGAAGCCGAGCGCGGCGAGTCGATCGAAGCACGTGGTGAGGAACGTCTCGTTGCCCAGCTCCGTGGACTGGAGAACCGAAGGTGCGGTGACCGCCGTGAAGAACCAGGAGCGGCAGTCCCGTCCCACGCGAGGTCAGGTCCACGGTCCACGGTCCCGTGAGAAGGTCCAGCCGAAACGGGGCGAAACACGTGGTACACACGTAGTTGTGAGCTGGTTTGGCATCTTTTGGACCAACAAATTGGAAATCAAGACCAACCATTGGGTTTTCCAGATGGAGCGGAATTCGATCCCGGAAAATTTTTTGGTTTTGGGTTTTGACGCAATGGATTTGGCTTCGAAACTTGGTTTCATCACGGAAACGGATCGCCGCCGAGTTTTTCCGGCTCGATTTCAAGCCGCTCGGTGAGAGTGGTGGAAGTAAGGTGGGACAATTGGTAGGCCATTTCTTGCGGGAACATAATTCGTGGGCCAGCCGGGCCCCGCCAATCGTGCGGAGTGCGGATTGAAGCGCTACGCGTTCTACCTCCTGACGAATGGTAGCAACCACCGTTGCAACCCTTGCTGCCACCACACACTCCAGCTTCACAACTGCTGCTACTCAACCACACGACACCGCCCATGCTACTCGCAAACAGCTGAAGCGACTTTACACTTCGCGCCGCCGCCAACAAGCCAAGCACCGGAAGCAAATACGATCACACAACCTCACCGGCCCGCCGCCAACCTTCCCCAAGAGCAAGCCAGCAGCTTTTGCACTTACAGTTCGCGGCAAGCGACACAGCTGCCAGCGACCGTTGCGACATTGGAATATCAAGATGTCAATCGCATGGCCTGGGCTCTGCCAGCCGTGGTGCACTACCCTAGCCATTATATATATAAATATCTGTGTACATGTATGATCTCTATATCTCTACTTCGCTGCATGTGTCTTTATATACACATATGTAGACATGTACTTTGCACGTTTGTTTTATATATATATATATATCTTTTTGACATGTTTTTAGTAGATCTTTCGACCGCTAGCCAGGCTAACCAGGGGGCAGCTTGGGCGTAACCGCGCTATCCCCGAGAGCATTCGTAAATAGACTGCTAGACATACACCGGTGTGTGAACGCGAGAACATCACCACGAGATTAATTAACAGAATAGAGTTTGAGCGTGAGAGTATCAATACAAGAGTCTGTCTTCAGCTCCTGTAGACCCTTTGCAGCCTGAGGTAAGCTAAGAGTGCAGCAAACAACTGTGATCCGCGCGAGCAGTCTACATGTAAAAACCTTTACCAAATAGATCTATATAGCAACATATGAATATACGTGTGTGTATATGAACAGATGTGTTTTTATATGTGTAGATGTATATGTGCGTATATATTTGTAGCATCCATCAACTTTTATCAATATTGTTGCAAGTACATAACTATTGTACATATACATATATATATATCTGGTAAACACCGCTAACCAGGGTGCCTGGCTTGGAAGTCACCACGCTTTCCCCGAAACCATTCGTGAAAGGTTTTTCTTCACGGCAGATTCAAGCATGAGATGTCTCTTTACACAGGGTCTCTTGACTCTAGCTAGACATACACCGATGGATGGATCAACGTCGGAACATCACAACGAGAGTAACTAACATAACAGATTTTGAGCGCGAGAGTATTAGCGCATAAGAGTATGAACGTAAAAAAGGACATAGTTAACAGTGAAAAGTGTCAACGCGAGAGTGTTGAGATAAGGGTGCCAGCATAAGAGTAGAATTTGAGTAGAATCAACATAAAGAGACAAGAGTCTGAACATAAGAGTATGAGCACGAGAGTAGCAAGACAAGTGCATTAACGCGAGAGTATCAGCGCCAGTTGTATTACATAAGCGTGTGTTTGTGCACTTGTGCATATGCTTCTATTTTTGCAAACTCTTAAAATGCGTGTGACTAAATGTGCATTTGTGTAGGTACATGTGTCTATACACATGTATGCATATACTTGTGCAAAGCATTTGTAAATGCACATGTGCGCACAGATGCTTGAAAACATACATTTGCCATATGAACGACTCGGGCCACATTTGCTTGTGGTTCTCAATTTGCTGGAACGGTGCCCCCTCAAAAGAAATATATTAAAAACGGCGCGAGCCCACGTGCCATTCTAAGAGCCCGCGGGCCCGCGCCGAGCCCGCGAGCCCGCGCCAAGCCCACGCCCGCGCCGAGCCCGCAGCACCCAGCCCGCGAGCCCGTTCCCGGTCATGCCAACTTGTGACACGTGCAAGCAAAAGGCCGATTTTTTTTGCAATTTCTTTTTCCGTTAGGGGTCTACACTGGAACACTTCCTGTTTCTGTTGTTGGGCGACGTCCACCATCGAAAGCACGCTTCAATGTGAGGAACAGTGTGGCAGTTGTTGGGCTTTTAGAGACTTGGGCTTTAAATATGTGCAAATTGTTTTTTGGCGACGTAGACGTTCTACTAGAGAAGACTAAAAGCACCTCTTCTTAGCAGCAAGTTCCTAGCAAGTGAGGTAGTACAGGCGCTTTGGAAGGTGCTTGGGCAATTGCTACCGGTAAGTTGGAGTCTCTATCGGAGCAGCAGCTGGTGGATTGTTCCAGCAGCTTTGGGAACGAAGGCTGCAATGGTGGTGACATGGATGACGCTTTTCAGTACGAAGAGGAAAATGCGGTGTGTACTGAGCAGAGCTATCCTTACACGGCGACAGGTGGAATTTGCAACTCTTCCAGCTGTACCGTTGGAATTCCTCGTGGAAGCGTCACTGGCTATGTGGATGTGGAGGCTGATGATGAGGAGGCCCTGATGGATGCTGTAGCTCAGCAGCCTGTGTCAGTAGCCATTGAGGCAGACAAGAGGGCTTTCCAAAACTACAAAAGTGGGGTGCTCAGCAAGGTTTGTGGAACATCATTGGACCATGGAGTCTTGGTGGTGGGTTATGGCACAGAATGGGGCCGGCCATATTGGTTGGTCAAGAACAGCTGGGGTAGTTTCTGGGGTGAAGATGGCTATGTGAAGCTGGAGCGTGGCAAGCCGGGGGCCGGGGAGTGTGGTGTGAAGTCCGAAGCCTCCTACCCAGTGGTGGCTGGTGGCCCTGCGCCATCTCCACCACCATCCCATGCGCACTACGGGAAGCCTCCGTGCCTGGACGATGAGTCCCCCGTCACCGTGTTGGGCAAAGGCAGTATTTGTGCTGCAGATTGCACCAAGGGCTGCCCCAAGGATGTACCAGCAGGCACGACGGCTCGACCCTATTGCCGGGATGATGACTACTGCGCCTTGGGGTGTATGATTGGGGGATGCCCTAAGGGTGCGAAGTGTGTTCACAATGGAGGATTGCTGGGTGTGTGTGTCTACCCAGACCTGGAGATAGTCGTTTGAACACGCCAAGAGAAGCGTGTCGTCACCCGGCGCCAGCGCTGATTGAGCCTGTCGCCCAGCTCGACGAGCTCGTCAAAGAAGGTGGCAGAAATGGCTGTGGATGGCAACGGCTCAGAGGTTTTAAGGTCGGAAGATTGTGACATCAGTGACATCCACCAACCAAACGCTACGAGCCAAACATGAGGCAGTTTCTTGAGGCCGTGCCTTGAGACAGGATTCTCGGATTCTGGGGCCATTCCGCAGATCTTTCAGCTCAAAGACTTGGCTGAAACCTGCCATTTGCGGCAGCCGCGTTCTTGGGACAATCAAGAGATCGTGCATCTTTTTAAGTGGGTGCCAAGGACATTAGAACCCTACTGTCATTTGTGTTGCGTTTGATGGGAGTTTTTTTTGAATTGGTTTCCCAAGTCGTGTAAGTCTTCAGAAGCCTTGGGCACATGTTTTTAAGATGTGTCCTGTGTCCTGTGTGCCAAACACAGCATCGATAGCTTCAATCTCAAAAAAATCTTTGGCCTATGGCTGATGGCTACAGTATGGATGAACTGTGAGCCTACGTTCAATGTCACACACACATACAAGATCTCAGAGTCACTCAAAAGTCTGTCCTCGTTCTTTCCAAAAAACACAGAGAGCCTTCTGTCCTTTCCTGTCGGCCGAAGTACTTCGCATGGCTCCACCATGCGCCGACGCTTGGACTTTCCATTCGCCTCGTCGTTCCGTATGACCTACCAATCGACCAGCAATATCACAGGCACCAAGCAAAGACACCAAACTATTTAGATGACCAACCTTTGGAACAGGTTTTTGATGACTTTTGATGCATTCATCATCAATCTTAGTGGAGAGAGTGAGCAAAACTCAGATGAGACGCCGTTCAAGGTGTCCATTTCTAATTTTTCTTGAACACATTCTTTCTACCACTTGATTTTCTCTATGTGCCACCGAAGAATTTCAGCGGCCGAGGACTTGGACGCGTTTCAGGTTCCGGACTACTTGCAGGAGACTTTCAAGACGTCTTCTGACGTCATCTTCTCACGCCATTTTCTTCGTTGGGAAGACTTTAATCTGTAAAGATAGAAGCAAGTCAAGAACATCTCGTCGAATGTCTAGGCTTGTTTGAAAAGGTCGTTCGGTTTATCTAGACCATTCCCGCAGATGGGATAGTTTTAATCATCCCCTTTTGCTTCCGGAAACAAGAGATCATGATCATTGACTTAGAACATGTCCAAGATCGTTTCTGAAGCATCCAACAAACGGTCGGAGAACTTGATGCTTCGACCGGAAGTGTCTCCGCTTCCGCCTTTGCGACCACCGTCGCTTTTCTCTCTTGCTCAGCATGTCCTTCCCGTTGAGGAGCTCCTTTCAGAGCTCACTGGGCCATGGTTGGCCGAGGAGAGCTCACACACCGCGCATCGAGTGAACTTACACAGGGGACTGGTGAGCTACTCATGAGCTACTCAGCCCCCGGAGCATTTGCCTGCTCTTGATGCCACAAGACGAAAGAAAAAAAAATCGTGACCTGCTACACATTCTTCGAGTGTGATTTGCATCATTGGATGCTTTCATGACCATTCAGATTCAGATTTCAAGATTTCAGACATCATCTCCATACCTCCGTGTTTGTTGAGGCCCAACCCGCGTCGGCCACCCGCGAGGTCTTTCGGACTTCGGACAACTCGCCAGGAGCATCCGCTCGGTGAGCGCCACCGTGAGGCGCTTGAAGTGTTCGTAGCAATGGCCGTCGCGTTCGTTGGTTCATGGCCGACAACCTAGCAATGGCCTCCAACCTAGTAGCTTCTTGAGAATTCACTTGAAGAACTTTTCGAAGTCTTTCAGCAGCTTTTGGATCGACGACACAGCCGACCTTGCCACGCTGGTGTCTGACCGAGAGCTCGGCCTCGGCCTCGGCAGTGGGTCGGAGCCAGGTGACCAGTGCGTCCGTGCCTGTAGGCCAAGGTTTTTGTGGCGTCCTTGCGCAAAAGGAAAACACTGAAAGAGCCACAGCTGTCCAGGTACGTTTTCAGGAACTGAAAGACATTCTCCAAGAACAGGTGCCTGCTGGATAACCATCCACTGGTCCGTCCAACCATTGCTACATATACTGCTGCTTCAACAAGAAATGCTGTGAATTACAACAGGCCCATGCACAGAATTCCAGAGCGGAAGGGAACAACGGCCGCATGCCATGCTTTTGAATCACCACCGGCACATACTGGCACGTCTCCCAAAAGGTATCAAACAGCTCGGGTCACTGCCTGGAACCCCAGTCCCAACCAGAAAGAAATGGATGCAACGAAACCCAGTCCCAACCATTTCCTATGTAAAGGATTTCAAGCTGGCGCCATATTGGAACAACCAGACTTGTTTCTGGTTGGAACTGGGGTTTTAGGTTGAGCTGTAGCTTCCTTTCGTTTCACAGGACGAAGCGACTGTGAGACTCGACTCCCAGGGCCAGGTGCGAGTCGGGAGGGAGGGCGGTTCGGGCGGTGATTTCTGCGAAGCGGAGGAAGGGATGCTAAGGTCTCATCCAAGGTCTTGGCACCATGTGATTGACCAGTGTGCAAACCCATTTTCGGTGGCCTCCGCGGGGGCCTCCTTTGGCACCTCCCTTGCTGGATGGAACGGACCCAGGAGCCGAGGACGGAGACCAAGGAGCAAGCGTCCCCCTTTGAGCTGACGCGCCGGGCGTCCCTCTTCGAGGCCTTTGTGGCCAAAGGCTTCAACTGGTCGGGTCGCCGTCGAGGAGGTGAGCGTGTGAAGCGCGAAGTGCAGACCTACGAGCCGCAGATCATTTGGAAGAATGATGTGAAGGGGGGAAGGCCGTTTTCGCGTTTGGTTTCTTGTATATACCTGAGTTGTTTTCAAACCCAAGCGTGTTGTTGGTGTTCTTCGCTTTCTGCTGCATGTTCCTCGTCTTGGCTAGGCCGGTGTCCAAGCGTGATGAGATCCGCCGGAAGATCGCGCGCACCGAGACGCACCTGGGCCTGGCGCGGGAGTCGCGCCTGGATTCCAAGGGCCACGAGCGGCGGTCGCCCCCGCCCGGTGGCCGGACGCCGACGCCACGCGAGGGGCTGATCCCCAGCCCGGTGCTGAGCAATGAGGCCGTACAAGGGACGATGTTGGAGATCACAGGCTTTGACCTCTTGGGTCTTTGGGAAGCTGATGGAGAAGGAGACTGATCACGGCCCATTTTTCAATGTGATGGATATTCTGATATTGATATATAGGGCAAAGCCTTGGGGAAGGGTGCTCAACTATCAACTTCTATGAATATTGGCCATCGCTAGTCGGTTGGAGGCCATCGCTACTAGGTTCAAGAAGCTACGAAAGGTACAAACCTGTCAATCCTCATCCACTTCGTTCTTCTCACTTCCTCCAGGACTTGGCGAGACCACGCCCCCCCCGACGCAAGACCAAAAGTCGCCCTGCCTCGAGACCGATCACGCCCACGGCGAGTCCGGGCACTCGGGTGGAGTGCCCCTTGCTGGTGCGCAGATTGGTGGGCCACTCCCCACCTGGACGTCCTCCCACTCCACCACCACCAAGACAACCAGTGGATCCGCAACGGACCTGGACGAAGGAGAGCTCCCATGAGAAACCTGCGCGAAGAGTACTTGCGACTCCCGGTCCCGTGCGCATGCTTGACGTGTGCAGTCATGTGTATATAAACATGTACGTGTACATTCTACGTCATGATGACATAATCAGCAACCATGATCACCTGACAAAACATCCATCTTCCTGTTTTAAAAGCCTGTTTTCTCTCTTTTTTCTGGAGGATTCCTCGATGTCGCTACCCTTGGTGGATGAAGACTTCTTCCGCGCCATCAGCAGCGGGCACCGCGGGAGGTTCGGCCGCGCCTTCTCCGCGGGCTTCGTGCGGCAGCTGAGCCCGATGTTGCGACAGATCTCCCCGGGGCGCTTTCGGCAAGTGTCCCAGGAGGGTGACGAGACGGGAGAGAGGTGACGGGGAGGTGAAGAAGAGGGAAAAGAGGGGGCATCTAGAGGTGCAGCCAAAACGCCAGGTGTTCACGATATTTTTGAGTCGTTTTTGGATTCGACTGGGAGAGAGTGGACATTTGGATCAGATGCGCGAGACAAAAAGAAACGACCGACATGTGCGGTGCTTTGGATGTCGTGGGAAGACACACCCGTGACCGTCGCGACCGCGTGACCTCGTCTCGCTCTCCAGGACGTCGCTGAGAGCCTCCCTGGCCCGGCAGCGTCGGCGCGGCCGGAGAGTGAAGACACTGACGCGGAGGGCATCTTGGTCACGCACCGGCAGTCAGAGCCGGCCGAGTCGATGACGTCAGGTGCGGAAGGAACCGGAAGGAGGACATTGAGGACATCCAAGGAAAACATAAAAAAAACCACATAGAAAAGCGACGGACGCTTGTTGCACCTTTTCCTTAATTCCCTTGGTCTTTATTTGTGGGCCTTCTATGAAGAACTTGGTTTTTGGATGGACGTTTGTCCTGTAGAATTGCAGAAGCCATTTCACAAAGACCTCGAACCGCTGACCGGAAGCGTTCCGCTTCCGGCTCCCACCGGAAGCCTTCCGCTCCGCTCCCACGCCGCCACCGCGGTAAACCGCACGACAGGTTCTTTGCGTGCCAGTGAACTTCCACTGGGCTCCATTAGCTTCAACCCACAGGATTGGACCGGAGACATGTGAGACATGTTACTGGCAGATTCAGACCGAACAGAATGCCGGACAAGATCTTTGGTAGGCAGCTGACAAAGATTTGCAGGTGATTTGTTTTGGAATGAAAGGGCGGAGACGTGTGCAAACACGACATGTCGAAATGTTGTTTGTTTTCTTTCGGCCTTGAACCTCATGCCATACAGATCTACTAGGCGTGGCTTCTAGTTACTAGATTGCTTCAAGTGGTGGGAATTTCTACATGAGGAAAGACTCAAAACATCAAGTTTCCGGCAAAGGCGCCTTCTTCAGCCCGAGAGTTGTGGCAAATGTGGAGAGGGATGAGCTTCGAGGAAGGCGGACGGACCGGACATATCATGGCAGAAGGTTCGACGTCTTGGCACCGTGTTGGCTTTGTTGATGTGCCAAGCATCGCGTATGGCGGTCCATTCTGTGATGCTTCGTGCAAGCCCAGCTCTAGCTCTAGTGCCCAGCTTCCGTGCCAAATGCCACACACTTGGGACGATGTGTACGGACTTGGCCTAGGTTAAAAAACCTAAGAGACCAGGTAAAACAAGAAGAACAGGTTGGAGGCCATCACATCTAGGTTAGAGGCCATCGCATCTAGGTGGGAGGTCATCGCAACAGGTTGGAGGCCATCGCTAGTAGGTTGGTTGCATACAGAACTCAACGCAAACTGCCTACAAAGCTCAAGAAACAGGCAACTGCATCTGTCCAATTTGTGACTGACAAGCAACCAATGCAGTAGGTAGAAGTAAAGGTAGTACCAAAAGGTGAGCGAGACAGATGAATCGCTCTAGGTAAGTTGAAAAGACAAAAGCAAAAGGCATCCGGTTCTAAGAAAAAAGGTAAACAACAACATAGACGCAGGTACACATCCATGGTGAGGGGATGCTTCCCTCTCTGATGCATAGCTTCATTGGAAGTCATTGGACAGAGTAGCATCAGAGAGCTCTGTCCCTCTGCGTTAAAGTGAACAATTACAGTGAAGAAACCAGCAGGTCCCTTGTGACTCCAAGGGTTCCACACACACAGACTCTCAAGTCTGACAAACGTCCGAGGTTCATGAGACTTAATACATTTTCCAAACTAAGTAGCTGATTAGGTTGGAGGCCATCGCCATTAGGTTCCTCTTGCTATTAGGTTGGAGGCCATCGCTCAGTAGCTGAACTACAGGGTGCAAGTGTCTCTTGTCATTCCCATCGATTGTTGCGAATTGTGGAACCCACATCCGACTGATCGCTTCGTGGCTCGAAAGCAGCTGAACGCGGCGAAAGCCGCGTAAGTGCTTCGAAAGCGAAGAGATCGCAGTCTTGTCCGTTTTGATTGAGAGAGACAACATCTCACAAAGACATCCCCGACATGGCCAGTTCCATCCCCTTGGGAACAGGTTTTGGACATGTTCGGGTTCCACTGGTTCCACGACCGGGTTTCTGTGCTTCGAATTCATGCCAGGCAAGAGTCCCTGGGACACTCCACATGACACTGAGGAGAAGGCAGAGGGAGGTATGGATGGGAGTGTTCGAGGGTGTTCGAGGAAATCTCAGTAACTTTAGAGATCGAAGGATGAATGAGATGATTCTTGCCGTTGAACAGTTCATCACATCCTACAACTGAAGTTCCTTGGAATCATTCAGAATCCAGCGATCATCTTCTGCTCTCCCGTCCCGTCAGGGCTTTGGCTTGAAGGATGACGACTTGCAGGCGGGTCTTGTGTTTTCGTGCTGTTGATAGAGAAACGCTTCCGTTCTTGTCTATTTAGCGATATCAGGTTCTTGTCTCGTTCGTGTCTTCATGTCACCCCTGCCGCTTTTGGCTTTCGCCCCAGGACCCCCCGGAGTTCCCGGCGGAGGAGTCTCAGGGCGCCGTGGAGCCTGCGGAGGCGCCCGAGGCGCTGCCCACGGCGGCGGAAGAGGCTGCGGAGGCAGCGGAGGTGGGTGGCTTGGCAGAGAAGAGGGCTGCTGGGGCAAGTCTTGGAGGTTGGGGATAGGGGAAACTGGAGAGTGGCCTGATTTTGATGGGTCTGTGTAACAAGACAAGGCTCTTAAGAGGGAAACTTAGAGAAAGAACAAGTATCGTGGTCACCAAGGGATTCTTGGGCTGATGAGTTCGAGAGAAGTCTGCAACTCACAGAGTTAAAACCAAGAACATAGAATTACTGTGTTGAGCAGAAGCTCTGGCAAGCAAATCCAGGTCCAAGTCACGAAAGGAACACGCCCAAAAGAGATGAGATTCACACAGAACCCCCGGAAACATGTCCTCCACTCCGGCCAGCTGGGACGCAGACGGGACCCGCTCGAGACGGACCGGTGACCCCGAGGCTCCCACGGTGACCCGCTCCACGCGTCGGCGACGGAGCTCCCGGAGTCGGCCACGGAGCTCAGCGCGGTCATCGAGGCGCGGTGGGCTTGATGCCCGAGGAATCCGACGAATGTGGTGGGCTTGATGCCTTCTTGAAGGTGCCGATGTGTCGGTTTGAAGAAAGGGCTAGGAATGAAGAAAGGGCTAGGAATGAAGAAAGGGCAAGGATGGCTAGGATGGTCTGCTTTTAACGCAGCATGTTCAGGATGAGGAGGTGGAGACGATGTACCTGGTGCCGCCTTGGGCTCTGCGAGCACACCTCAACCTGGACCCTCTGAGCCCGCGCGAGGCGAGCTTCGGCTGAGCTTCGCTTCGAGGTCGATGCGAAAGCCATAGCTCGATGGAATCGTTGAGATGTGTTGTGTTTGGTTCTCAACATCTCAGAGGGACCAGTGTTGTAGACAGATGAAGCACAGAACACTCTTCCTGGATTGGTCTACACAAGAGAGGAGCGTACAGAACACGAAGCTACGGGCTCCTGGCCTTACTACTAGGAGCAAGGACGCTACTAGGGGCTCCTGGCCTTACTACTAGGAACAAGAAGCTATTTACACCCTGCGGGTTGTTCCGCCGGCCTTTTCAGCCAATGGTCCCAAGATGCGGATTACCTTTTGCGTCAAGAGGAAAGACTGCAACAGAGCAGAAAAAGTAACAGCATCATCCAGAACACAGCTGGAGCACCAGAGGAGCCTACATGAAATGACGTGCGTCATGAATCATGATACAATAAGAGAACAGGGAGATGAAATTGGGGGATGCAAAGTATAGCCTGCCAAGCAAGAAGACAAATTATATGACATGTGACACAATGAGCGAAGTAGACCGTGCGAAGCAGCAAACGTACATAGCATTCCGTCAGACATGATACAAGAGAGCAATGAGGACATGTGTGGCGTGGGGATTTCCAAGCAGTCTGAGTCTGCAAAAAACGATAGATACGTGAGTGCAGGTGCAAAACCTGAGAAAAACGCATGACAACCTTTCACTTTAGCTATGATATATGTGAGCTACATACATTCGGG